ACCGTGTCACCCATGTTACCCTGCCCTTTAATCCTTACCCATAGGCTCTCAACTTGCTCTTCATCCACCCCGAGGCAGAGCTCCAGACATTCTGGTTGCTCCCTCACATAAAGAGCAACTCCACCACCTCGCCTTCCTGGCCTGTCTTTCCTAAAAAGCACATAGCCATCCATGACAGCATCCCAGTCATGTGAACTATCCCACCATGTCTCTGTCACTGCAATGAGATCATGGCCCTGCGACCGCACACAGATCTCTAACTCTTCCTGCTTATTCCCCATGCTGTGTGCATTGGTATACAGGCATTTCAGAGCACCAGTCGAGCACGCAGGCTTCCCAGAAGAGGTGCAAGAGGATCCTCCATAGCCATGTCCCATGCTGTCTCCCCTGGTTGTATGCACCCGCTGGAGGCATCCTGACTTGAGCAGTGTTTTACTGACCCCCCTGCCCCTATACCACTCCCCTTCCCCCATCTTGCCTAGTTTAAAGCCCTCCTTACCAGGCTGGCCAATCTGTTGGCAAAGCCATGCGTGCCCCGCTTGGTAAGGTGGATCCCATCGCTCCCCATCAGCTGTTGATCTTCAAACAGGGTCCCATGGTCATAGAAACCAAAGCCCTGTTGCCAACACCAGCGGCGCAGCCAGCTGTTAACTTGGAAAACTCGTCTACTCCTCCTCCTGTCCTTTCCCCTCACAGGCAAGATTGAGGAGAATCACTGGCTTTATAAATGTTTAAAAAAATGTTTTAAAAAAAGGGAAATAAATAGCAAGACTGAAAGGTATAAGAGATTAAGAAAATAACAAAGCACTTCAGGTTAAACTTACTTAAAGAAAACTAGTCTCTCTATGTCAGTGTACTGTATCTTTCATCAACAAGAGAATGATGTATGCTGCAAAAATAGCAGCAGGTCAGGCAAGTTTTATAACACCATACAGGAGACCCTGGCCCCTGCATACAGTGGAAAGATGACAAGCAGTATTTAAAGCTTGCATTTGACAAGTCTATGATTTCTAGCTACTGCTAATCTTGCTATCTCTTTTCTTCATTGTACAGGACTCCTTTAGACGTCAAATAAGAGAGTGGTCATAAGGATATCTAGAGTTTAATTAGATGCTCTGAATCATGCTTTCATTTTTTCCCTTTTTCCACCCTTACTTTGGTGCCTGTAGCAGTAGCCTGCTTTGGCACTTCAGCCATTTCAGGTACTTGACTACAGGTAGCTGGTATGGCCCTTCCTCCAGGAATTAGACTGGGCTCATGGGAAAGCTAAAACTTTGTCCTTCTGCAATTACACTGCAGTTTTGAGCTTTGAAATCCCAAATGTTTGTGACTCCCTACTAAAGCTGTGTGGCTGCTCTCTTGCAGAGAGTCATGGCTCAGGACAGCATCAGTCTGTAAAAGTTGGCAAACTCACCCATAAGGCTGCTGTGCCTTAGTTTATTTCCTGAAGAGCAAGTCTGTCAGAAAAAGAGATCACTACCTGCTCAAGTAGCCTAACAGCTAAATCTGCAAGCCACTTGCTCTTTTGGGCTCCTAGTCTGTACAGCAATAGGAAGATAATTACATATAGCACAGACAGGAGAAAGAAACTGAATAGTAGATATATGCTACAATAAAGAATTACCTCATCTTTTATACTGACTTTGTTCCTGCTCCTGCAGGGAAATTAGCTTGGGTGCCATTCAGGTCAGCTTTACAGTTGGTATAGTCTGGCTCCCAATGCTCAACTTCTATGTCAGAAAAAAAAAATGCATAGAGTTATCTACATACCACTGAAAAAACACCATACTGAATATCTCACGTAGTGGTAATATGTTAGCTATATCTGTACCTTTAGCTAAGTGAATGTTAATTAGACACTGAGATTCTAATTCGCATACCTACATTTTTAAGCAAGTGTGACTTTATATA